GGTTTATGGCACACCATGTATGTACTTCTGAAAAGCCAACGACAATTGCATTCATTCCACATCATTGCATAAAAATATTCGTGTTCATTTTTAGGATAAATTTATTAGCACTTGAATTTTTTTTTTTAAATATTTACGAGTGGAGCATCGAGTATACCAATTACCAGTTTCACTGAGATGCCAGAAATTACATTCCTGCACAGTGCTGACAATTATTCAACAGCCAACACATGTTCTATAGTCCTTAGACTTCCAACAGTTCACAAAGAGTATGAGGCATTCAAAGAAGCAATGGATTTTGCTATATTAAATTCGCAGTCTTTCGGTACATCATAGGCAATAATCACTCCACAGGGCCACCAACAGTAATAGCACATTATGATCAAACCGTGCAGTCAGCTATGTTCGTATTGTAGTTGAATTATTGTATTGTTATAGTAATAACTTTTATAGGCAGCATATACATTTTGTATACCATACCACAATTACTGTATTTTAGTTCTGTAGTTTATTGTTTGTAATGATTATTGGCATTGGTGAATGTTATTGATTTTTCTTCTTTTAGTAAATCTAATAATTTGTTGAATCACATAGATGTTTAGGAAACTGTAATACAAATGTAACTTGGCTCTTAAATGAATCTGCCTTGCAAACAATATAAATAACCGTGCCAAGATTTATACGGATGGGGATCATATTTCAATATTTACTATGTATACTTTGATGATAAAAACAGTCTACCAAAGGAAAAGTATACATGTTGTTGCAATTGAGGACTTGGTGGGTTTATTATTATTTGCCATAAAGTTTTGCTCATAAGTTAATTTTAAGTACATACAACAAAATTGAGAAGTAAATATAACTTTCCAACTTTAACTTTTAATAAATAATTATATTTGATAATCAACATCTTTTCAAATTGTATGTTTATAGTTATTTACTGTTAAAGAAAGTTTCTTGGACTTATTCAAGCATTTACATTATTTTATACAGTATTAGTTGAAGATTTATTGTCACACTAAATATTAAGAAAAAAAAAGTATCATAAATGTTATTAACTTTAGCCAAAAATCATTTACCTGAAAAATTATAAATTAAAAAAAAAAAATTAACATTGTTAATTCAATTTTAAACTTTTATTTTTCTTTTTTTTTTAATATTCAGAGTGACAACTCATCTTATAATTTTATATGTGAGATTTGATATATTTTTTTAAATCATATTATACAGTCATGGTAAATTTGTTATTAAAACTATTATATATACTAATTTTGTTTTGTAAATTCTCATTAGTGATATTAATATGTTAACGATAACATATGACAGGATTGTTATTAGTTTGGAGTAAGTGGCTCTTTAAAATCTTGCATGCATTTTCTTACACTATTCAGACTATGAACATTGCATACAATTTAGCTCCAATTGTCAGCTTGACAGATTTTTACAAGCCTGAGATTATTGCCATACTTAAAATATTTGACCAGAGACCCACAACATAAGAGATTTCCACAAACAACAGTGCCGTAAATCCGTTTCGAGGAGTGGGGGTATGAACGCAGTCGGGTGCCAAACTTGCACTTAATACACTCACAAAATTGTCAAAAACTCGCGCAGATAACCACACACACCAGGTGCAGATCAAAG